CCTGAAGCGGAACACAAGTAAATAGATTACTGATGTTGAATGAACACCCGCATCTGTCGTCAGAATTAAAAGTGATTATGCACAAAGGCTGAGTATCATCGACCATGTACTCAATTGCGAAAGCAGAATAATATCATTTCTATTACTTCAAAGCACACAAGAAAATTAAATTTCTGCATTAAATGACCCATAAGGAGTTGATATGCCGTTAAACAAAACAAACAATACATACTGACGTCAAGTGGTGCAAAAGAAGGAGGCAGGTAAAACACCTGATGAGTCTTTTTGGATGGATGGTAGAGCGGGGACAAAGAACAACGGTAAAAAGTTAAACCTTACTTAGAGCTACAAGAAACATTAAGTTGTGAAGAGCTACGATCGCCCACGTCCTAAAGAGGCGCGGCACATAAAAGAATGCCCTCACATAAGGGAGGCAAGTCGATTTAGGCAATAGCAATGTCACTGCAGTGAACTTTATAAATATTTACACTAGGAGGAGTAAATCAAGACGATAAATATGACACTTTATTTGTACAGGAGTAAACATTTATATTACTGGCATAAAAGATTATGTAGCGACTATGATTTCGTGTCAAGCAGTTATTTTTGTATATTTGATATGCGGCACACATTCAAAACAAGATCTGTTTTAAAAAGATTCCGCCATTTTAAAGTGTATTCTCGCGAGTAAGTAAATAAAACAAAAAAAAACATAAAGGGGCTTTACGAATGCAGACTCAGCTCGACTGACGAACAAACTAAACGTCGAATGAAAATTAGTCCTACCAAGTCGCAGACTCCAAAGAAATCTTCTAACGTTCCTACTTCTAAGGGTATCACATATTTTACAACAACGTAAATCTACTGAACATGTGGTCAGATTTAAAAAAAAAAAAAAAAAAAAAAATGGAATACTACCCGCCCATGGGTTCAAAGTAATATGAACACTTCTTATTAAGTGATTAATAAAAGTGCAGTATTTTTTTTTTTTTTTTTTTTACTGTGACAATTACTCCGACGTGAAGGCAAATGTTAACTGATTAGTGTCGGGTATTTGGGGTAAGACACCGGATATGTAAGAAAGCTAGACTGGGTGGAAAAGTAGGGGGTGCTCCAATTAAGTAATTAAATGAAGGTGTCCCTGGCGCCGGCAATATTTTCCTTTTATATCTTTTTCGGGTGACTGAGAAGAAAAAGAATGGTTTTCTTTGGATATACCAGTGGAAAAACTTGTGCAAGATTTAATCTCGTTTTGAGACGAATCTCATCACGCTGTAATTAAACAGATTTTTTTTTTTTAAAGCTTTGTCTTCAGATTTATTTTTCGAAACTAATCGGATTTCAAATTATATTTTATATTTAAATAATAATAATTATTGGTTGTTTAATAAAAAATTAAAAAAACTAATGTAAAAAAAAAAAAAAAATCACCGGAGAAAAGCTTTCAACTTAAGATTTTTGTGTTTTCCATAAAAAAATGAATAGTTTTTTTTTTCTACGTATGTGTCATAATTTCAGTGCACATTAACTAGGATCAAAGTGTTACAACGCGTACCAATACCTGGAATCAGAGTGTAGAATCTGTGCGCACTGTGAACAATAATAATTACATTCACTTACTTGGGAAAGGTATTAATCCTCTTTTCCCCTCCAGCTATGGGTAAACAGCAGGACAGACTGGTTTCTATAGCCTTGGATGGCTACTTGTCTAGGAGAAGGACAACTCAAAATTCAAAACCTGCGAAGGGTCGTTTGGGGACCTTGTGACACGTAGTGCACAAGGTCTCTGTATTCGGCCCTTCAAAAAGCGTGGTTGGTCCTGCACAAAGGCTTCATCACTATAATCAAATCATATGTCCTGGTGTCTGACTGTCGGTCCCTAGTAACTGAGCTGTTTGACCCTCATACGTCGAATACGACGGGAGAGTCCATTATTATATATGTATGTGTGTGTGTGTGTGCGCGCGTCTGCGCACCTGCAAAGAAAACCTATACCTTAAGTTTAAAATGAATTTTTTAAAAAAATGAAAAACCTTTGTTGAAGCTTTTATTTTAATTTTAAATTAATAGGTTAAATTTAATATTTTTAACAAATTTAAATTGATTGGAAATTGTTTTTGAACACCCGAAAATGACCGATTTTAGCCATATTTGCAGTTCTTTCAACCTAATGTAATTCTCTTTATTAAAAAAAAATAAAATAAGATGAGCCGAGTTAAAGTTCAATCAATCTGAATTGAAACATTTTTAGTTTAAAATATCGCAGAAAAAAACATTTTTTTAAAACGGAAGTGGATATTTATGTGTTGAAACATAACTTTTATTTGGAATTTTTTTTCTACAGGGGACATATCTATAAAAATTACTTGAATATAACCTGAGCAGTCTGTCTATATTTCTGAGATGAGGTATCATGTACACTATTTACATTATTCGGACTAACGTCGCCATATTTATCACAACGTTTCGGCCGTTGTACGCTTCGGCCTTCTACAGGTGATTGGAATTTCGAACTGAACCCTCAAGGACACATGGCACAGTGGATAAAGGCGTTGGTTAGATCCAGTGACAGGACCCAAAGAGTGTGAGTTCAATACCCGTTTAAGGCAGTGGAGAACTTTCAGAGGGAAATTAGCAGGAGATAACTGATAACTGACATCCATCAAAAACATGGCACGTAGAACTAGAACAGTCTACCCCAGTGAGAGAAATAAAGGGTTCAGTTCGAAATTCTAACCACCTGAAGAAGGCCGGAGCGTACAACGGCCGAAACGTTGTGATAAATATGGCGACATAGATAAGGACATAACCTGAGCACTTTTTTAATATAATTTTTATCTACCGAGTAGAACTTAAAAATTTAGGAAAATATTTTAAATAATCTAATGTTTAAGGACTTTTAGGTACTTTGGCTTTAAATTTATTATAGTTACCGCTCATATTTTCTGATAATATTGTTTATTGACGACCGTATTTACAAAAATCAGTAAGTTTATACACGCAGATAAAAAAAATAATTATTTTTAAAATATTGGGGGACGCTGAATTATAAGCTTTTCCATTTATGATTAGTAAATCTATTTTTTACTTAATAACAACATCACCTAACCGGGAGAAATTAAGAAAGAATTTTAAAGCTTTATAAATTATTCTAATCAGAAATTACAAATTCTCGTAAGAAATTAATTATTCATCGGAAACGAAAAATAAAAGAAAAATAAAAGAACTAACTGATTTTCAGTAACTGGGGGTTCTTTTCTGAAAAAAAAATATGGTTTAAATTTTACAATTTCTGTGTATATAAAACTTACGTGGTAGAAAAAAATGGATTTCTTTAATCGTAAAATCAAATGAGGTAGGGGCCAAGAGAAGTAAAAAGAAAAAAAAATTAAAAATTTTACCATAATTTTCTAAATAAATATTTCTAAAATAATTTTATTCATTTGCGAATACGCCCTGAAAGTTTCATTAAATTCCTATAATTATTTGATTTTTGCACGATTCTCAAAATCAACGCGTTTTTCACAGCAAAAAGGCGCTATACGAATTTAGAAGGTTTAATTTTAAAAGAAGGTAAATTTTAAATGATTTAGAAGGTTCTAAAAAGGATTACAAAATTTATTTTAATAATCATCGATTTTATGCTTAATAATAACAAAAATTAAGTCAGTTTTTATTGAGTTTGGGGTATTTTTCTATCATGGTATAATAATTTGTTTTACTAAATCTTAGATATATATTGTGGAGAAATTGTTTTCTTTGGGTTGAGATTTTTCGACTATATATATATATATATATATATATATATATATATATATATATATATATATATATATATATATATATATATATATATATATTGTGTGTGTGTGAACAAGATAAAGAAATCAGCTCGCAATTTCTTGAAGATTATCAGATATACATCTGAAGAAGGTCAAGGAACACGCTAGCCTATGTTTTGTGTTCGAAACAAAAATTAAGACATGAGCAAATAAAATAATGACATTTTAAAACTAAGGACCTTAAAAAAATGTTACTGCAGTCGTAATTAGAAAAAAGTATTAATATTCCAACCAGGAAATTTGTTGAGATTTATTTACGAAGCCAAGTTGGCAAACCTGAAGAGACTGAATCCATTTCAAATGCCATACGTGGTATTTGCCTTTTTTTTTTTTTTTCATTCATATTTAGTAGTATCGCTATTTCCAGGATACCCTGCTGCTTTTCTAGTAAGAACTGGACCAGCAATTGTTAGCACTTTGCCAATTATCACCAGCAATTGTTAGCACTTTGCCAATTATCACCAGCAATTGTTAGCACTTTGCCAATTATCACGCCGGACATTGATTAGTAATTAATACAGTTGCTTTATTGTGCGAGTCGTAGAGAGAAATAAACTATTTATAGCGTTTCCGTTTTTCATATATAAGCAATAAATTACACTCTCGTTAACCCATTTAATGTCCACTATAAAATCCAGTATCAATTATAAAAGTAAAAATAAAATCCCGGTATTAATTATAGGTTCATAATAGGAGATATGATATTACTTAACTATTTACACTATTTACATTGTTCGGACTGTTGTCCTCATCTTTATTGCTAAAATAAAGTTCGAAATTCCAAAATATCACCTGAAGAAGGCTGCGGCATACAACCGTCGAAACTTTGTGGATATAGCAATAAAGATGAGGACAACAGTCTGAACAATGTAAATAGTTCAATAGCTCATCACAGAAATATAGGCAGATGTTCATGGCATTACTTAACGAGTGATTTGTTTTTACGGCTTATCAACCCTTTAAAGCCAAACAATATTTTTAGATAGTAGGAACTTTTTGAAGATAATAAGCCATAGCTGGAGAAAGAAGAAGAGGTGGATTCATGCCTTTCTCAAGGATATTTGCGCCTAAGCGAATATAACGAACCCGACTGGAATTGGAACTCGGTTCTCCAATTTCCAATCGTTATCCATTTCACCCAACCCACACATCGAAATTTACATCACCTGTTAGTTCCAAGCGGTCACCCATCTAGGTACTGACCAGGCTCGACATTGCTTAACTTCGGTGATCATACGAGAACCTGTGGTATTACTTATAGACTTCTATCTAGAACCTATTGACGTTCACTGTTCCATTTTTATGAGCGGTGGCTATTAATGGGATAAATATGTAAAGGTTAACAGAAAATGACATTGCCCGTTTTGGGTTAACTGAATCACCCAAGAAATAGAGGAGGGCCATTTTCTTGGGCTAACATTACCAGGGTGTTGCCCAAAGAAATAAGTAACAGGATATTTTAACAGTTCCTCTTATCTCTAAGACATACCCATCTCTTTATCAGGTTTGCTTTTCGTTGTTTTATATAAATTCTAGAATATAACATCGTTCAAGAGAAAATCTAGTTGTTCGGCGTCTGCTGTAGAGCGATGGTTAGTAAGTCCTTCTCATGAGCCAGCCTAATGTCAGACTTAGTAAAGCTGATGTCAACTTCAAAGTCGTTGCGTATTTAAAAACATCTATAATATTTGAGACCGTATAAAAACCAGTATTTCAGGGGCTCATTTTCAAAACACGTAGCCTCAACACCTTTACACGTATACATTTAGCTTTGTGCTACATTAAACTTAGTAAATATTAGGTTGTTCGAAAAATGTCTTGTTTTACAATCAGCCTTTATTCCTGAATTAATGTACTTAAACCGTGTTTAAATCAGTTAAAAATAGGATCAATGAACATCTATACATTTCCAACATTGAGTTTTAAGCTGATTTATGCCTTTAGTTTTTATCGTATGTGTGTGAACGCTAAGAAAATTTTGAAAGCGATTCTTATATCTTTGCAACGGAATGTCTTGGCTAAAAATTTTCAAGATGCTAGAAAAAAAGGGGGTAATTAATGGATGAGAATTCAGGGGAATATGGTCGATGTGGCTAAGTCTCGTATTCAAAGTCGATGAGATTTTGCAGTGTCATCCTGACAACATATGACTAAGCATTATCTTGAAACAGAATTGGACTTAGTCGATTAACCAGTGTCCGTTGTATTTTATTTAACTGACTGTGTATTCCATCCAGTTGCTGGCAGTAAACATCGACAGTGATGCGCTGATTTGATTCCAGAAAGTTGTAATAGATAACGTCAATGGCAGACCACCAGACGATCACCATAACAATGATGCGAAAATTGTTTGAAAACATTTATTCGAATTGTAAATTGTTTGAACGAAAATTATTCAAAAGGATAATTATACTAAATGATAATTATTCGAAATGCAAAATTCTTTATTGCAATAAAAATATAAAAATTTAAAAAAAAGGAAATACACAAATGATAATTATTAGAAATACAAATATCGTTAATTTAGTAAGAAAAAATCCGTATAACTAAAAGTTATATGATACTGCACGCAAATAGTCAACAACCGAAGAGTACTCGTTAAAGGATGCTACTAATTTTTTTTAAGTTTTCCATTTACGTCGCGGTATTTCTTGGCGCTCTTGATATTTTGGCAACCTGCTCTTACTTTTGTAATATGAAAATCTTGCATATCCTGTTCTGTTTTAGGAGCGTCTAAGAATTTCCATATTGTGCGATGATGTGATGACACTTGCTGAAAAAAAAAAAAAGAAAAAAATCTACGGCACAAGGGCGTTATTAGTTCTAGATAAATCGACAGTGAGTTTCTCAAAGCAAGACCACATACGTATACCAAACATAGATATTTCAAATAATTATCATTTAGTATAATTTTTCCTTCGACTAATTTTCATTCAAACAATTTACAATTCGAATAAATGTTTTCGAATAATTTTCTCCATACGATTTATCGAGATCTTCCCTCTATGTCAATTTTCTTGAGATGGGCTGATATTGTTGAAATACTGACACGCATTATCTGAGACATTTATCTGACACTTTGACATGGGTTTTGTTCGACTAGTGTTTTCAGATGTTGATTGTCAATTGCAGGTGGACATCCTCTATAATCTTGATCTTTAAGACTCGTGTCCCCAACTGCGGAACTTCAGAAACCAGCGCCGTAACTGTCCAATCACAAGTGGATCCTTCAACCACGTGGTCTGTTAATGTTGGTAGTAATATTTATTACTGAAACAATACAGTAAATGTGGCACAAGGCCGAAAAAGGGGGATGGGGAAATGGACGGTCATCATTTGTCTTAATTTATAACTTAGCTAGCCACAACCACTGACCCAATCATACAAAACAATAATCCTAGCACCAAAACAACATATTCATACTTACCTTTCTTACTATATTCACCAAAATACCTCATTGTCTCAATGAAAATCCTAAATAGTCCTCATATGTACCAATCGTTGTCTGTGAGGGGAGGGGAATAAAAACAACAAGCTAAAAACACTCCAATGATGTATATACAATATGGTAATTAACTATTTACAAGAAACAGAACAAAACTATGTCAGTAATAAAACCCCACACAAACCTTAAATGTGGCAGAAAACTCAGTTAACTGGACGAAATCGATGCGACTGTTAATGTTGGTAGTAGTTTGAGAAGCATTATGGCCAAGCTTAAACTCATACAAAGAAATAAAATAAACACATCTTTTCTGTTTCCATGTTCAAAATGAGGAATATAGAATGGTTCAAGTCAAATTCGGAAAGCGATTGATATGAAATTAACAAAGACGAGACTTTAATTATTAAGAATGAGCAATATATTTTTGTGCAACTTTTGTAATAATATAAAAGAAACAAAGGGTTTATTCTACAATCGAACATTATTTTCCGAACAAACTAATAATGAGAAATCGATATGCATTGAAGAAGAGGAACTAAGTATACCACCAAATATAATGTGGGCGGGGAATCACTACATTCCTTTTAGCACAGTAGTTAGCAAACTCGTTTCATCTCCAATTTTTTAATTGTGTGGTCAATGGTCATATTTTTTTCCTACGGCTTCCAGTGATCAACGTTCTAATTAAGGTAAATCTACATCTTTCAGTTAGACATACCTTTTCCACTTGGAAGATTGACTAAATAGATGAAGAAAACCAGTCAACCGGTAAGATGATAAATAATACCGTACATCGGAAATGGGGGAAATCACAGTGGAGTAATGGATAGCGGCTCGGATAGAGAAATTGGAAAGCAGAGTTCGAATTCCAGTCGAATCCATTACATTCACTTACGTACAAATACCCTTGAGAAAGGTATGGATCCTCTTCTCTGAAAGCAGGACAGACCGGGTTCTATAGCCTTGGATGGTAACTGGTCTACCGCAGAAAGAAATGCCAAACTACTACGGGAAAAATATCTGCCTCGTCAGTCAGTTATCGAAAGATACATGATCGCCTACGCGTGTATCATACATGGCACATAATGAATTTCCAATTTATTTATTCCTCTCAGCATGAACTGTGTAAAAAAAGCTTGACAATTACTATCCACACGTTGGCCTAAAAAACACGAGAGATATGAAGAATAATGTGGTACTGTACCTTCTTTATGTGATGTGTCCCCTCAGGACGTGGGCGATCATAGCTCTCCACAAATCCTGTCCTTTGTAGGTCTTAATTTTGACTTTTCGTTATTTCTCCTAAACTCTGTCCCGCCATTCATTTACTCAAGCTCACTAAGTATGTTTTCCTCTGTCCCGCTTGCATTCAATCTGTCCTGTGAATATCAGATTTTCTAAGCCCTCCTTCCTCCATATGTGCTCTAGAAATTTGAACTGTATCTTTCTGATATTCAGTATAAGTTTCCTTTTTGTTTCCATTTTCTCTAAAACCTCGGTCCATGGTATCCTCAGCATCTTTCTTTAGATTGTCCCAAATTCGCTGCCATATAAGAGGACAAATATCACGTAATATTTCAGTACTCTTTTCTTTGTTTCTTAGGAAGTTTTTCTGTTTCTCAATACTCTGCTTAGCTTTTGGAAGGCATCTTTGTCTATCCCAATGTGCCTTCAGATTTCAGTGTCTCACTTTCCGTTCATTTTTAAAACACTTCCCAGGTATTTAAAATTTTGTACTTGTTTGATTTTGGTATCTCCGATTTGTAATTTACATTTTGGCTCATCCTTTTGCTAACAACCATGCATTTTTTGATACTTTTCTTTCCGTGTCGGCTATCAAAATTGTCATCTGCATGTCTTATGTTATTAAGGTTGTGACCGCCAATAATGAATCCAGGTAGGACTTCTAATTCTGTCAAAATCGTCTCGCTGTATAGGTTGAATAAATCTGGTGAGAAGTCACGTCCTAGACTTGCACCTTATTCTATTCCTTCTGGCTTTCGATCGAACATTAAGCAGAATACAAAGTCTTAAAGCTTCGACACTGCAACATTTTCAGCAAAGTCTGGGACCAGAGGTAGTTGCATATTTTCTATTGGTAATGGAGGTCGAGATTCAAACACCCATAATCTGCGAGGAATTCGAGTGCTGATTTTTATGTCTGAATAAGCCATTCCTTACTTCCAAGTGTTTATACTTCCACTGTTAGATTAAACTAAGCCTAGTCCACATAGAAAAGAGATATCAAAAGCTTTGCTTCAGTAATAAGAAAATTCATTAATCTTGCAAGCTGTTGGTAGCGAATTTAACCGTCGTAAACCGTTTAGTCTTAAAGTGATATAGTTCTTTTTCGTTGTTTATATATATATATATATATATATAAGATCATTGCAAAAAATTCGTGTCGGGTTAAAAACAAAATTTTACATACTCACTCACAAAAAAACATTTATTGGCCAAATACATAGTCGCCATTCTTTTTAAAAACTGTCTCCCATCGTTCTACAAAATTGATGCCATTTTCGTAGAAACTTCGTGTTTTTTGTTGGAAGACTGTGGAGAAGTAATTTCGACTGACTGCACAGAGTCATTTTTTGTCATTTAAATCATTGAGACCGGAACAAATGAAAATCTGTTAGGAGAATACGGTGGGAGCTAGTGAGCTTCCGCCATTTCAAATTTTTAAGCTTCTTATGGGTGCGCTTTGCAACATGCGATCCTGTGCTGTCATAATAGAAAATGACAACTTTTCGATTTGCCAAATTCTGTCCAAGAACGGCTCCTTTTCGTGACATAATAGCAAAGA